TAAAGGCATTAGGCGTTTGGATTCCCTTTTCTATATGGTCCGCGACCATGAAATCAGGAATTGGAACGTTTCATTTTAGAGCAGTTGCCCGAACAGCTGATGAACTCGGTTTAGTTTTCGACACTGAACGAGGTGATTGTATCTCTGTCACTGAGTTGGAACCCCTTCAGCAAAAAGCTCATATTAAAACCGCAAAGGTCACCTCACTTCTGCAGAAACACAAGGATAAACCGATGCATGGGGTCCTCTTCAATAACATTGAAGACCTTGGCTTATCAAAGCGCCTAACTTTCGCTTTTCTCAGGTCGAGCGGGCTCAAGTCGGAAACTGAGGGTTTCAACATGTCTTGTCAGGATGGTGTTTTCAACACCTTAGTCTACCACAGTCGCGTGATGGGTATTGAGGTTATTGACGAAAGGTGCAGGGCCAGCCACGAAGCGTCCGAGACCCTAATGCACTTGCTATCAGCATATCCAGCATATGTGGTCTCGGCATATATCCATCGACATAACGCGACTCTAAGAGTGCTATATTACCATCTACGGCACTCTTGTGGTATTGACGAGACACCGGTATTGCCCTACGCTCCGGGGAACTATGCGTTTCCCACCCTCAAACTCGTTCAAGCTGATAAGACTGATGTAGTCGTGGAGTTTTCGTTCCTGGCGAGACGAATATCGTCCGAAAAGAGGAGAAAAACGGATAAAATATAGAGATTCTCTCTTCTAACTTCTCAGACTCTATCCAGACCACTCTGTCAAGATGTTTGTTCTAATTAGTGAAATCCTTGGTGGAATGATGCCTTCTGTACTCTTGAATCTTAAAATCATACCGGCTTGCCGCACTAAGACAGAATTCTTAGCCTGACAGATGCAGAAGGCTGTCATTCTTGGCTCACTGCGCTTACTCAGGGCACATGATTCTTGAACCCAATGATCACTTACCCTACGGTTTGGGAAGTGGTCGTTGATTGATATTTCTGGCGCGTCCTCCCGAATGTATCGGGGCTTCGGGGAAATGGGCCTGACCAGCGCGTACAACGTTAACAAAAAGAAATTGATAATAATGACTGGTAATGTTTTTCCCGCAACTAATTCGTTGATGTAAACGTTTTTATTAGCAACATCAACTCTTTCGAATGATGAAGCAACAAACTTCCATGTTATTTTCGTAACCCAACTTTATATTGATCATTTATGAGAAACAAATGCCAAGACAAATGTATAATTCTAGACATGAAAACCCTATTATTATCGCTTTAAAAATTCACTTCTAACCACGACTTTCGATTACAAAAACGTGCTTTCGAGAATCGATATTAAAATAATTATACCATCAGCCATTCAACTGTCATCATCCAGATGGTATTCTGGATAGCGTCAAGGGATAAAAAATGAAGGTTGGAGAACAAGCCTGTCAGTGATCTTGCAACGCAAGCACTTTATCACACGAATTGAATTTTCAGCAAAAACTGTCGATAAAATATGACTAAAACTCTGCGTGATTTCAGTCGTGTTCCAGATATTCGTGTAATCAGCATTATTATAATGGAAGCTATAGTTTGTGGTTGATGGAACTTTAGAAAAAGTTAAAAATCCATTAGTGGACACGCTAGTTATGTTTCGAAGTAGCGGACATAAAATGATTTATTTTTTTTGTGTCAGAATCGAAGCTTCTGTAGAAATTCTTTCGTTTATATAAACGTTTCCATTAACATAAATTCTACTTTATCCAAGGTAGTTTCAAGTATATAAATATTTGTGAAATAGTAAGTATGATGTTCATAAAGTAGAAACTACGAAAAATTTTATTAAATACCGTGAGTTTGGTGTTATAGTAAAACAAATTATATTTTAGTTTGGGGTAAATCAGGCCAAATAAATACTAGACAAACAACAAAAAAAAAATATATAAAATCTTGGACAAATATTACACTTTCTATGAGAATAAAATATTATTGTAAAAATCTTAGGCAATATGGATAAGATTATGCTACTTGCTACAGTATGACACAACTTTGGGATAAATTTGACTAACCTATTTCACTTTGACAGATTTTTTTTTAAATTGTCTTTCTTTTTCGAGAATGTGTTTTCCTATTTGTTTTTTGAATATTGGTTATCAGGTACAGTGTAATATAATTTGATTGCCATTAAAAAAGTATGCTCTTTGTAAAATTGACTTTTCAACAGTAAGATAGGTTAGTTGGTCGCAATGTCGTGTGTTATAGTCGTGGTTTCGTGATGATGCTTTATTTTTGCTGCAATAATACTTCACGTTTGTACAATAGTAATATAAATGTCTCATATCCATAACTTCACATTCTTTATAATCTGACGAGAAACGAGAATTTTTAAACATTATCAACTTCATGAATCTCCTTTGTAACACCTCTAAAGGAATGAGGTGTACACGCAGCAATTGAATCATTTTTCAAGAAAAGGAAGTTGTGAAGCATTGTTTGCAGTTTTTTATTATATATATGAGAGTCCCAGCTTAAGTTTCTATCTATATAGACGCCCAAGTTTTTTTCCTTGTTCGCCGACATCAAAAGTTTCAAATGGACAATCACTGGATATATTGCAGCTAAAAGGAAGAAAATTATTTTTTTTTCACATACACTGTCAGGAGCCTTTGGTCAAACCATTTTTTGAGCAAGTATAAATCTGTTTCTATGTTCTTTCTCAAACTAAGCCAAGTGTCTGCCTCATAGAATATTGCAGTAACGTCTTCGTATCCAATTATTTTCCCAACGCTGTCCAAATTGAATGATTCATTTAGATATTAATTGGAAAGCACAGGACTCAGTACTGTATCTTGTAGGACTTCACATTCTATTTGTTTTTGATTGCTAATTGGATGGAGCGCATCCGAAACGTCTAATTTTCCGTGACTCTGGCACATAAATCAGGCTGAATTAAACCAATGACAAGAGTAAAGTTGCCTTTGAGGATCTCTGTGATTTGTGGCTCATTCGCATACACCTGTGACTTGAGAAAACCCCACAAGAAAAAGAGTAAGGGAGTCAAATCACACGACCTCGGTGGCCAGTTCACATCATCTCCACGTGAAATGATCATGCCCTCAAATCACCGAGCAGAATATCCAATGTGGCATTAGTTGTGTGGTACGTAGCACCGTCCTATTGAAACGACATGTCGTTGGTGCCCAGATCATCCAATTCAGGCCAAAAAGTTGGTAATCATCGCCATTGAAAGTGATGGCCTGGCCAACGTCGTTCTCAAAGAAATATGGACCGACGACGCCACCAGCGCAAAATCTACATCCACAACAAACAGTGACATTTTCGGGATGCATTGGACGCTCTTGTATCTCATTCATCCAGAAATGGACCTCATCCCTGAAGATGATTTTCCGATTGAAATTAGGGTCAGTTGCTAACGCTCCAGAATCCATTCAGTGAATACACTTCAGTGTCTATGGTCATTCACCTTCAGTTTCTGGGTCTGTTGAATTTTGTACGGGTGCAGGCTCAAGTCACGACCCAAAATTCGTCACGTTGTGGTCTGCGAAAGGCCTACTCCTTGTGAGCGACGTGAAATCGACTACCTCAGATTCTCCTGCACACTCTCACAGACAGCGCCTATGTTTCCGGCAGATTTTTCGTTTCTTCGACGTAACGAGTGTTGGTCGATCGTTTACTTTACCAGTGGACTCAAATTTATCCACCTCATTGCGTACAGTCCTCTCGGTAGGATGATTATGGAGACCGTAGTTGGGCGAATCGCGCGGTACGTTGCTCGAATAGAACACCCATTTTGATGGAACAATTTTATTATTTGCACGTGTTATTGGATGCTATATCCGTCCATGGTAATTTGGTGATCACAACTTTGAAACTTTACTGTGAATCATGCTTTTATAAGCTGCTAAAGTGGTGATAAGGATGGGTAGAATCGGTTTGTGATAAATTGAAGAATCATGTTTGTTGTTCCCTCTACTAATTGTTGAGTCCAAGAAATTGATTGAGTTGTTGTTTTTTAAAAACCGAGAATGAATTATTATTGATGAAGATGTGAGGTAATATGCTGCAATTGATCATAATTAAACAGGTACATCAGGTAGAGGGTTAGGTAAAATTTTGGAGGTAGTCTCAATTATGGTTACCTGTAGTATATAATAGTATATTATGCAACGATCATGTAATGATGGTTATCAAGACACGAGCATTAACCGGGAGGGATACGAAACGAGCCGAAGGCGAGTTTTGTATGGTATATGCGAGTGTATTAATAACCATTACATGAGAGTTGCATACGCTATTTTTTCTAAACCCAATAAATAATGAAACACTATAAATATTATATTTGTATTGAACACATTTACAGTAATTAACTCATATTTTAAAAAAAACACAATCCTAATGGTATTATCATGGATATATGAAAACTATAAAGATTCTAATTATATTTATATTGAATATAACAACTGTAATTTAATCTGATCTTGTAAAAATATTGGAGTCGATGGTATTCCTTCTATATCGCTGTTTTTAGACATTTTGATAATATAGGTAGGTAATATGAAAACTGATTTTGACAAATAAAGCAATTAGTTACTTAGGTTAGAATCTAGGACAAACAAAGGAACAGGATTCTTGATTGAAAAATTATGGGTTTCTATTGGTTGATAATCTGTATCGTTATGAAAAATCTGTATCATAATGGATATCATTATGAAACGGATTATGGTCATATAAGTGTATTGTTAGAGTACGGGTGTAGAAAAATATTAATGTAAGAACAATTCGAAGTATAAATCACTTGAAAAAGCTTCTGTGCTAGCGAAACAACACAGTTTGTGGGGCTCAAATTGTGAGGTATATTTTTTGAAAATACAGAAACTAGTTCAGATTATATTTTCAAAGGAAGTTTCGTTATTTGAAAAATTCCCCAAACATCCGAATATTTTTGCTTCCACAGATAAAACAGAAACCCTCTCAATCAGATATTCAAAAAAAATTTCAAGCTAGAACTCACTTTGAAGTCCGTTTTCCAAAACCCCCAAATCACACCTGGCTCCCTTCCATCCTACGTCTCTTTAAAAATTCAAACCGACGTGCGTAACCAAGGAGACGCTCGTTCACTACGTCGGCCACGTGACGTACGCTCGGAAAGGACGTCCGGCGTCGCGGCGGTGCTAACGGTAACTGTCAACTTTCTCAGCCAGAATTCGCTTTTTCGAAATAAAGTGCATTCGAAGCGCACGCTTCTACAGAACTCATTCAAGCGTCCGCGAATGCGTGCAAGGGGTGGGGGCGTGTTTACGAAAAGTGCGAGACAGATGTCGGAGATAACAAAAAATAATAATGGTTCACAAGAAGAGTTTTTCTTATGGTGATTTCTAAGTCTGTGTCTGATGATGGATGCGGGTTATTGAGAGCTGTTTTTCTATCTGCTTTGTTTTGTCTATATGAGATTCGTACTAATAATAATAATAATGTTTATTCATAAGTAGCGAAAAAAATACACACCTTTTATTGTTACAAAATCAAATGTCTAATAAAAAAAAACTCAGTAATATGAGGCTTAGAATAAACAAAAATCCACCGAAGCGATATTATCAGCTTGTGTGTGGTGACATATTATTCTGGTGTAAAGTTGACGAATCAAATGTAATACAGTCAAATTAATGGAAATGAAAACAAGGGTAAAAATGAGATTATAGGTTAACCAAGAAAATGTGTTTTCAACTAGCTTGAGAGTTTCGGATATAGGTTAATTATAAAAGGAGCAGTAGACGAAAGTTGAAACAAAAATGGCTTAAGAAAAGTGTAAACAATATAATTTTTTTTCAAGGAAATAATACTATATAATAATACCAAAAATTTCATAAAAATAAAATTACTATTCAGGACATCATAACGATAAGATTGAGAGTATTCACAGAATATATGAATTGTAACTATAATTTGCTGTGAAATAACGATAATTAGTACAAAAAAATCGTTTTAGACGTTATATTTACGTCATAAATTAATTATGAAATATGGGGCAAGCGCGATGATCAAAATCAGGAAAGTATAACTTGTGTTGATATGATAATGGCATGCCTCAGATTTCCACAGAAAAATCTGACAGAAAGAGTGTGTGAAAGAAATTATTTTAAATAGCCTCAACTTAATATCAATCATAGTATGTATTTTTTATATCGACTAATCGATGTGTTGAAATTCTTGATTTTGAAGTCAGCCATAATTTCAGCTTCTTCTTGAACAGAGATAATGGGTTTAGTTGTTTCAGTTCATTTGGTAGATCGTTGTATATCTTTGGCCCAAGAAACATGCTAGATCTCTGGGATCTAGCAATCTAGCAAATATTTCAAAACTTCTTTGACATCTGTCGAAGAAGTAAAGAAATAAGCTATCAAAAAAGGAATAACTGCGAATGTATTTGAATTTTTCATCCATTTCTGAAGACGGAGGCAGATTTTGGCCTCCGAAACGTAAAAGATAAATATTATTTCTTAATAATTTTTTTATAGGCAAAATTGTTGAATACGACAAGTTACTGATAAATAGAAGATTTTTCTTTGTGGAAAATACTTTGATTTTTACGCAGTAACTTATCGGGGTAAACTAAAAAGTTTGCCCTCCTACACTTGTATAAAGCTCTCCATTATAATTTTTATATTTTTTCAGATTGTGGGTCGATAAAAGGTCGATAAAAAATCTTTCATAAGTAATAATAATTTAAGAAAAATCATATTTAATGCAAAACCTAGACGTGACAGAATGAAGAAATGTGGCATATATAGAATATAATGTAGTGAATGCTCTGCAGTATCTATAATATCTATAGAAGTGAGATCCGGATATCTTGGTGGCCATTCTGTAGGACCTCTCTGCCAATTCAGCGACCAGGAAAATGTTCATCTAAAAATTGTCGCACTAGAGCTGCATGAAGAGGAGGTGCACCATCCTGCTGAGAAACTATTTCGTTCTCGAATGAATTTATTTCCTCATCAATTGCCCTATTGATGCACGGTATTATTCGGTTCTCCAATATATCCAAATATTTATCACTAGTCAAATTATCATCGATGAAAAAAGGTCCTATGTTATGGTCACCTGAACGTACATTCATCTGAAAAACAAATTTTATATAAGAAATTCTGATGCAAGTTGATCCGTTCAGTGAGACTTTCACAAAACTCGATACGTCTATCGAAATCATCTTCGTTCAATTTATGAACTAGTCTTATATTATATGGATGATGAAATTTGTACTTATGAAGGATCTAAAACATTTGTACGACTGATTCCTAATTCTTGAGATAACTCAGTAAGAGATTGCGAATTTTCCAATAGTCCAACGTGCCCTAAAACCGCAGTACGAATAGCTTCATCGTTGACAACTCCTGCACGGTTATGCTTTTTATTGTTAACAGATCCAGTATTCATCAATTTGATCAATAATTCAGAAACGTATTTGTGTCGTACATTTCTTCCTGGATGATTATCATTGTTGAACGTTGTTGAACAAACTCAAAGATATCAGCATTCTTGGAAGTCATGATTTCATAAGAAAAAAATTGAAATGAGCTCATATTTCGAAAACGGTAATAGATTGTTATAGGGAAATATCGAAAAGAGTTGTAGGATAATCAGTGTAGATTCCAAAACAACATTATATACATTGTGTTCCATTTGTAAAATCAAAGTTGCTAATGCTTCTAGTTGTCCAAAATATTTTAGTTGGAGAAAGAAAGAAAGTCCAAATATGATTTTCAATGATTTTTCAAATGATTTTTCAAGTCATTGAAAATTACTTAGTTAAGTTGAAACTTGTTTCTCAAAATATTCTGGTAACACTTCATCATAGTTCTTGAAGAGTTCAAAAAATTGAAAATTGATGTTGGATCTCGATTGTGAACTTTTCCTTTGAAACTAACCCCGAAATGACCTTCTTGTATGAAAGCATACCCTGGGAGTAATCCTAGATTCCAAACTGACATGGAACCAACACTTGGACAGGATAAAGAGGAAAGCGAAGGTAGCATCGATGCTCGCTAGACGGAAAAACATGGGGGCTAAAATCAGACTTGGTATATTGGCTATACACGATGGTGGTTGAACCCATGATAATATACGCATCTCTGGTCTGGTGGCCAAAGATGAAGCAGGCGACCGCCATCAACAAACTAGGCGAGGTGCAAACACTTGCATGTTTGGAAATGACGGAAGCAATGAGAACTACTCCAACAGCTGAATTGGAGACACTCCTGAATCTACCTCCGTTACACTTTGTGATAATGTGGTAGGCCAGGATGGGCCAATTCAGACTGGAAAACTCACTGAACTACAAAAGACCGGACTGAACAGAAATTTCGGAACAAGTGGAGGAGCACATATTGAATATACGCACGGACCACATGACACCGAAGTACACCTCTAACACAAACTTCACGGCCAAAATCATAGGCCGTGAAGAGTGAAAGACCATTAGTCATCTCGAAAACATGTTTGGAAAAAACACCTGGTATAAAGATGGATCGAAGACCAAACATGTAACGGGAACTGGAATATACCGAGCGGATAGAAATCTAAACTACAGCTATCCGCTGTGACTATATACATCCGTCTTTCAGGCGGAAGTGTATGCTATCTTGCAGTGTGCAAGGCTTATTAAATTGAGACCTCAAAGAAATGAAGAAATGAGTGGATCAATATTTTTACAGACGAAGGTGACATCAGAACTAGTCTGGGAATGCCATGAAGAACTGAATGAACTTGCAAACAAAAACAAATTAACTCTGTACTGGGTGCCAGGGCATTCAAGAATCACAGGTAATGATAAAGCTGATGAATGCGCTAGACGCGGATCATCAACTTCATATATAGTTCCTGAACCAGCTCTGGGGGTACCAAAATCATTGGTACGGAACCAGATCAGGACATGGACCAATAAGAAGCATACAGAGTACTGGACGAAAGTACCTGGCAACAAACACAGTAGAACCTTCATTAGGGAACCGTCCGAGAAAAGAACCGGAGAACTACTTCAATATAGTAGGGATCGGCTCAGAATAATTACAGGGTTACTAACCGGTCATTGTCCGCTTAGAGGACACATGAATAAAATGGGGCTGTACAACGGAGACCTCAGCTGCAGATTATGCAACGAAGGGACAGAAAGAGCTCTACACATCTTATGCGAATGTGAGGCACTGAATCACAGGAGGCAGGCAATATATGGACGTACAAAATTACGCCCAGAAGAATATGACGAACATCCAACACGGAACCTGTACAAACTAGTACAGGAAACGATACTGATGGAATGGGTGTCATGAGAAGATGGAAGAATAAACGCGATAAGCCCAAGAGGCTGCAATGTTCGATCTCACACCGCAAGAGACTGGATCATCGTGAATTCGCAATTTTTCAGAAACTCATATCCACTCTAGACTTTTCTTCACTTCGTTTCTTCTATAAATTCTTTGGTAGCTTATTTATGGCACGAATAAAGAGACTTATTCCTAAAGTGCTCACGATGTCGAAAGATTCTTTTTCAAATGTTCATTGTCACTCGTATATATATCCTTCGAGACGAAATTGAGAGGTCGATCCGGAGAATGAGAGAATTATGTCGGAGTCTATGTGCTACAGTGTAAGCCAAAGGGCTCAATTTTCCAACGGAATGGTTATTACTCAGAGGGGAGTTCGAAAAAATTTGGTGCATTCGGAAAGTTTCATTCATTGGGAAATATCGAAGTTAGAAGGAATGTATGATTTTCGTTCAAATAGTAAAGATATATTGAGGAGTTGGGCGTTATTATTCGGTGATGAGAAAAAACAAAAATGAACTTTAGCGATATTTCAAGAATATCATTGATTTTTTATAGAGGAAGTGATTGACAACAGGATTAATTTGCTAACGTTTCTGATTTGATAAGCAAAATATCTGGTTGTTACAAGAAGCGCTTTCCTAAAAAATTATTTGAGTCTTGTTGGCAGAAAACGTTGGCCCTTGTCTCTCTCTTTCAGTAACAACTCATTATATTATCAGGCCAGTCAACTGTTATGACTATGATTTTTAACAATGGAGCAAATTTTCAAAATTCATTAATGAAATAGAAGAATGTTTCACTAAATACCGAAATCTGCCCCAATAATTGGATTTG